CAGTTCCTGAAGGGTCTACACGGAAGCTGTGGGGGACTTCCTACGAGGGCCTGTAGTGACAGGACAAGGAGTTTCGGCTTTAAATGGGAAGAGGGGAGATTCAGATTAGATATCAGGAAGAAGTTCTTCCCGGAGAGGGTGGTGAGGCACTGGGACAGGTTGCCCAGAGAAGCTGTGGGTGCCCCATCCCTGGAAGTGTCCAAGGCCAGGCTGGATGAGGCTTGGAGCAACCTGGTCTAGTGGAAGGTGTCCCTGCCCATGGCAGGGGGTTTGGAACTAGATGATTTCTAAAGGCCCCTTCCAACCCAAACCATCCTATGATACCAGACCTGTGTATCCATACATATGAACACATGTATCTACATTTACAGTTACTTCAAATAAAGCTACCTCTGCTTGGGATGAGTAAAGTAATTAGCCCAAAGCTAACTGGGGATTCTTGCTTTGCAAACATCCTGGGTTAAGCATTCACAAAGTGCAGTGATGATGCTGTAGACAACAGACACAAATGAAGTCCCCTTGTTTAATGCCTGACGTGCTCTTACTAGTAAGACCCCACATGTTAAACTAAGAAGCCAAAACTAAGAAGTCATATCCTATTCAGAACTAAGCACTGATGTTAGAGTTGAAATGTAGTACACAACTTTCGCTTCAGCCTTTCAAAATTCCATTTTTAATATGATTTTCACTAGACCTGTTTAAGTAAACCACTCTGAATAAGGGGTGGAGTGTTGTTACACAGACGCTGGAGCAGACCAGACAATGAACTGTGATTCAGACAAAATTGTAATTAATTTCCCAGTGCAATCCTTCTTTCAAGGTGAAGAAGTAAGTTACTGGACTATATCACATGACTTAAACAGAATTACCATTGGTCTCACATTACCTTCCTACTCTGCACACCAAGGCAACAGAAGCAGCTACAAAATTACAGTAAGAAAAGCCAATTCAAATTCCTCTTTAACCCTTTATTTCTAGTCATGTGGGAGCAACAAAATCATTTTACAGTTACAGGACAACAGAGACTTGAAGAGGCAGGCCTCACAGCCGGTTACACTGAGTAATTCTTCCTCATGAAAGTCAAAGTATTCTCACAGTTTATGGCCAGTGTGTAGCTGTTGCTTTTACTGCACAATGGTATCAGTGGGTTAGCAGACTCTCCACACACACACAATTTGACAGCCAAATTCCTTTTCCTATTATTTTCTGTTCAGTTTCCTAGTAAACTCACCTCCCTAGGAACTTATGCCTAGAGCTTCCAATAAACTACGATTCCCTTCCAACCTCTTCCAGAAACGTGTACATTTTAGCTGCCAGATGGAAAAAAATTCAAAGCCTCAGCAACCAAGTAGCTGATCAAGCTTAGAGCTCAGTGCTTCTCAGTAGCTTTTCCGATTCCTGCTTACGTTCCTGATGTTACCCACCTTTCTCTTTTGTTGCCAAAACTTTCAAGGCTGCTGACATCTAGCTTTTCTGATCTTCTTTACAAGGAAATTATTTTGCTAGGGGAGATAACTTGTACCTCTTAGTGAAGATGGATAATGAATAATTAATGTTTCATCTTTTCTCCAGTTTCACTGGGCTGTCAAACCTGCTAACTGCAACACTTCATATTAAAACACAATGTATCATAACTGCATGAAATTTGAACATAAATGTTTCTTCTCCGTTTCAAACTTGTTAAGCATACTCTCACAAGGCTCAGCCTGTTCTGTGAATATGATCCTAAAACTGCTGATGAAACTCCACTTTATTTGCACGAACACTCACTATGATACTTGCTATGTAGGGAGCCAAAGGAAAAGGTAATGCTAGGCTTCCTATATTGAATATGCCATGAAAACCTCATACTGAATGATCAATAAAGAATATTAAGCCAGCTGTAAAGTGACAGCTATAGCGAGTGTTAAAACCATCTTTCTTCCTTTCCGCAGTAAACCACCGTGTGTGTGTGATCCTAACACCACCTTACTGACCTGTTTGGTGCAGGTGATCTCTAGCCAGCTCAAATAAACGCATATGCATGTTTGTGATGGGGTTAAAGGAGCCACAGGCTAGAAGAATGAGAGGTATCCTGCTCTTCATTCTGACATCAAAACATTGAACTCCACCCTAAAGGAAAAAAAAATAAAATAAAAAGACAAACTTGACAAAGAGGAGTCTGCCCATTGGTCCCCAGACTCAGAGGAGCACTGTTTGCAGAACTGTGTATTGCTGGACACTAGTAAAGGATCAGCACATCAGCCCTCTGTATCCTCACAGCATGCAGGAAGTCCTAGCTCAGAAACACACGAGTTCTTGGACAGGAAGGAGGAGAGCATCAACAAGTTCTGTTTCCCCACATACAGAGATGGCTAGAAAGTATTGATAGAAATCCATGTTGTCACTATAATTAAAAACTTTATTTTCATGTTTTTTATTTTTAAGCCGATTTGTAGAAAACAAGGTTTTGTTCTGTCTTTCTGTCAGCACCCTATTAGTAACTTCGGAAGATTTTTTTTCTTTAAAAGAAGTTCTTACAATGGGCCTCTGCAGCATACGGCAAATCCTGCACGCAACACCCAAACCTATAGGTGTGACTTCCTTCGAGGTGGGCAGGCAGGAGCTGGTGGGCAGGCGGCACATACTTCTAGCCAGATTATCAGCAACTGCCAGCAACTGTTGGATGGCAGTGCAAGTGGTGGTGGATCAACAAGAAAACACTGGGGTCATTAAAAAGCTATGAAGAGGGAGAACGGGTGGGGAGCAATGCTGTGAGGAGCCTTGCAGGTGTGTTTACAAACAATCCTGATATAATTTAGTTAAAATGTCAGTCATCTCAATAAAACTGCAGAGGAAATCAGACTTGGTCACTGTGCTCGGAGCTACTTATTTGCATAGTTCTTTTTACAACTGATCCAGAAGATATCAGGCATAACGGAAACAGTTGCGTCCCACATACATATCTGTGAATCTGATCTTTAGATGGGGGTCTCTTCTTTTCCTAGGATTTGAAGCCTCACAATGCTCACACCCATATATCACACATTTGCCGTTCTCTTCCCTTCACCTGGCCTCCAGCCCTCTCCAATACGTTTAACAGTCTTCCTGCAGAAGACACTTGCATCCCAAACTTCAGAAGCCTGTCTTGGGTTAAAAGACCAAATCCGGTATGGATTGTTTAGCAACAAGTTTTAGTATTTTCTCTTGTAACATGTTGACAGCTTGCAAACTCTCTGAAGCATCCATGCTATCTGTACCTTGACCATCTCGTACTGAATATGTTAAGATTCTTTTATACTTTTCTCATTTTACTTCATTTATTTCTCATATCTCCAACAAACTAAGGGAGTTATACTGGGGGAGAAAAGACCTGCTGGCTGTACACCCATTCAAAGTTAGTAACAATTTTATGGCCTACAATTGTAGCAGCTGTGGGAAGCACACTTCACAGCACTCTCTCTTTTTGCTCTGATTTACTGTGCCTGTATAGACACTAATAAAGTCAAACATGAAAATTGTATGCAAACTTTACAGGTTCTTTATTCAGAAAAATCAAACTCAAAGTGTTCTTTTGTTCACTATCAGCAATTTGGTAAATATATCTGCATTGTATGGGGACAGGTCTTCCTGCCTTGAAACAGGTAGCAAAACATTGGTACCTGCGATTAACTGAAAAGAAACCATTGCTAGAACATGTCAGTGTTCTCCTGCAGTCACGACTTTTTGCTAGATAAATTCTGTTGCCATGGATTAGTCAATGCTGAACTCTCAATAACATATCAATGAATTCCAGTCAAGAAATTTTCTAGAAGCACAAAATTTTTACAGTAATAACTAGAATAATGTTGTTCAGCATCCAGCCCTGCAAACAGGTTTATACAATTTTATACAATATGACAACCTAAAATCAATGACATGATCCTGTAACTTCACCCAGCTGCCAAGCAGGATCAGTCAGGATCTCACTCAAATGAATATGTGTTCAGGGGGAAAAACACACGTGTTCTTATTACATGTATCAATAGCAGCTCTAGCTCTTACATCTGCTAGTTGATGGCTCCGATATCTTTCTCCTGTTCTGATAAAGTGGTTTATATTTCCTTTGCTGTTATTTTCTTTGCTATCTTAAAAGTTACAAACTGAATTATTTCTTTTGTTTTTTAAAAGAAACTTTTAGTTCTATAGACTTCTCTATTTCTCACCTGAAACAGATGTGTGGAATGGTTTGATTGCAGCTCTTTCTCATTTATACCTTGGAGACTTGGGGAAAATACTCCAACCTGTAATTCTTAATGATAACCAGACGGTACTGTTAATGGAAACTCAAAAAACAAACCAAGACAACAACAACAAAAAGATAAAAAGACAAAAATTCAAACAAAGAATGTACTAAGAGTAAACATATAGCAAAGAGGCAAAACAAAAAGTGTTTTTATACATATATACACCCCATGCATATAAAATGTCTATAGATGTAAATCAAAACAGCAGCTTTTTTATTCCTACTATTCTCTATATAGTATATCATAAACTTATTTAAACAGGTCTAGTACAACTTTTAAGATTTCAAACAAAAATTTGTGATTCAGCTGTTATCTTGGCTGTTATTAATTAACTAAGGGTTTGAAATCATTAGAACACCACCCAATATAACAGAAAAAAAAGAGAGTTAACTGATTTTACCTACAGATATGTGCTGGGATTAAACCATGACAACATAGGAAGCAGACTGTCCTTAACTAGTTTCATCACCTGAATACAAACTAAAAACATGGGACTGTGCTGTTACCAGGCATCTACTGAGTGTGCACATTGTGCCAGGGGAATACATTTCTATTTCACGTGTTCCATAAAAATAAGCCATTAAATTAATCCTGAATATGTCAGTAAATTGTCTCTCCTGCCAAACAGCCTGCAGACCAGGAAAGCAGTAGTTTCTGCATCAATTTAAATATGCTAATGCAAATTTGCACCTATTATTTGTTGTATGTTTGCAAAAAGTCACTCAAGTGTAACATCAATAATGTACTTTGTTAAATAAATACTCTGTGATTAATTTGTCCCCTAGCAATTGTCCCTGTACAATTCATATGCCATTAATGGTGCCCCAGAAAACAGAAGTGTGTTCTCTTATAGCTGCTCTCAAGTCTAGCTAAAACATGAAGCACTTCCTCAGAAGTTGTGCATAGATAATTCAGCTGTTAGTCTAGTCTTGTTGCAAGGCTGTAAAAAGAAATAACAATTAAGTCAAACTAGCAGGAAAGCAGAATTAAAATCTTAGAATGCACATAGATTGGGAGGGGAAGAAAGGACAGAGCAGGACATCTAGAAGAGGGCTGCAACCAAGAATGCAAACTTTCTCTCTGGGGTTTTCTTGCTAACCAGCTGCAGTGTGTGCTGCAATCTAATGATGTTATCAGTCAGCAGAAATGACAATTATTCAGCCCTTCTAGAACTCAGCTCCTTATCTCGGTGCTTCCACTTCCATAACTGAAATCAAAACTGATGTTCAGCTATTTCAGAGGCTAGACCTGGCTTCACACATACCTTTCCTGAAGTGACTGGACCTTTAGATACCTTCTTCATGTCTTGTCCCTAATTATCCCTGTTACATCTGTGACAAACTATTCCTTTTACTTACAAGCAACACACTTGCAAGTGCTCCATAACCATTAAATGATCATCTCAAGAATCCTTTGGGGTGATTAATTCTATAAAGGAGTCACTTTTGTACTTACAATCACTCTTGCATCAAAATATTCTACCTACCCAGGAACAGAAAGGAGGAGAAACATCTACACATAAAGAGGCAGTATTTATTCTGAAAAAAAAAAAAATCAAATACTGGTATTGCCCCTGTTTAGTAAACATACTAGATGCATCACACAGAACAATGCATTGTTCTGCACATGCAATATTAGGATGTTTTATGTCCTACCCTACAGCACTGGGTACCTTCCCAGTACATTTAGGCATTGATTGAGCACAGGCTTCAGAGAAGGAATGCAACCCAAACTCTGAAGAACAGGTGCTTTGTTTCACATCTTTTTCTCAGCATTCCCTTACTGAGTTATAGGGCAGTATTGTTAACAAATCAATTGTGTTATAGGAAAAAAAAACCCAATCTTGTTCTTCTACAGTTTCCTTCTCTCTTAGTACTAATCAGTAATTTTTAGATGTTGCTGCTAAAAGAGACAGCCCCTCACTATTCACCTTCTGCACCTGCCAAAAAACTCAAGAAGCAGAAATAGTAGACTGTACGGTAACATTTTATATTGATTAGGTGTTCACTGTCTGGCAAACCAGTTTCAAATCCTCTGTTTCTCAAGAGAAGGGGCAGAAAATAATTGAGAAGTTACATTTGTTCTGAGGCTCTCCCTCTCCTCCCCTAACTACTGTACCTCTGAACTGTCTTCATATGATTGGAGTGATTTGCTGCTGCCTTGCTTAAAACCGGCAAGATTTTAGCAGAGTCTGCTCTGCCATTCAAGTGTTTACTGCATCGGTACCACGTCTCTGTGTGGACCTCAAGGGATCAAATCAAATTCAAAGCACTTGAAATCCCACTAGAAAAAACCCAACTGTATTTCAGAATTCTAAAGAAAATACTTGCAGTGTGTGCCAACTGAGCTATGAAAGCATTTTTTGATTCATCAGATCAATATTTTTAGTAATTGCCTATGATATTTCTATAGCAAGACTGCACCTTCTACTTTCAACTAGTTTAAAAGCATTTTACAAAAATCTTGGGAATAAGTCAGTTAACATCACTATTATCAAGCAGTATTAGTAAAATGTGCATGTTTATTTTAAGAGTATAAGCATTGACTTAATTTTTTAAATGTAATTTTGGTTTTAAAAAGAAACAACCATGTTTATTTTTGCATGAAGTCCGCAGACTCTGTAAATATATCTCCTGTTAGATCAGCTTTCCTCCTGACATAACAGGCACTGCTTTTTGCTGTACTTCTAATCAGTAAAAGATAACAGATCTTTTGTCATCTTTGCTGTCTGTCTTCAAAATTCATAAATAATGGAAGCAAGAGAAAGCACAGCTCTGACCACAGCCTGTGAAGGTTTGCTGCTTTGGAACATGACAGCTA